AGCTCTGGCTGCACCCGATGCTCCTCTAGTCTGCGTTCCGACGCATTTTGACTCGGTTCCTTAGCTAGAGACATTTGTCTGTTGACATCGATCTCATAAACATCGACAATGCCAGCACCATCGGCACTGTCCTCTACAGCAGAGTCGTCCACAATGACATGTTCGCTTGGCTTCGGTGGGAGTGGAAGCGAAGCACTAAAGCATGGCTCCACTTCCACCACACTGTTGGAGTCTGACTCTTCGGATGAATCTGACAGGACAATGGCTTCGCTCTTCTGTTTGCGCATGACCTTCTTGCGTCTAGGTTCAAGCTGGCATGCAGGCGCTCCCTGTTTTTTTGCTGCACCATAGTCATAAACCCCACTGCCTGTGTTTTCGCTGCTAGTTCTGCGATGTCTTTTGCTAAAGTTTGTCGTGCTGAGCGTGGAGGCCGCTTGCTGGCTAGCCTTGCGCTTTTGCGACATCGAATGGCTCTACGATGATAGTTAAAGATACGTGCTGCTCCGAGGAAGCCTAAGAAAAATGAGCAGCATATCGAAACTCGAGCATTTTTTTGGTCTAGCAAGCATACTTTGACGTCATCGCCAACGATCTATGGGTGTAGCTGGAGCTGGATGCGCCGCGAGCATGGACAAAGCGATCTGCTATGCCCGCTGTTCTGCATGCACGCACAATTGGCCCCTTGTGAACCAGACATAGTTTTACGCTGCAGAGCGCAAGCATAGGTACCAGCAAACTTTGCTGTATAACGCCTGACCCAAGTCGGTGAATAAGGAAATAGAAAAGAAACAAGCTCGGATCAAGTGCGCGTGGTTTTTTGGCAGTGCCAGGTGTGCAGAGACGATGTTCCACGAAGAAGCGTCTCTAGTACAACAACAATCACAGGTTCCGCTGAAGTGACCAAAGCAATCTCTACACTGCACTCAACCAAAGCTGGGGATCGCGGCTTGCTATAAATTGAAGTCTACTCCGCACCCAGCTTCCTAGCTCGTCCCACTTTTCTCACTTTTGATTTTTTTCTTCGAAACTCTCTTTCTCACTTCACCCTAGCACTTGATAGAGTAGCTATTGCTTCTCCGTATATTTTTCTTCCCTGCTCTCCATTCTATGTCGGGTGTAAATGCGTGGACATGATATTCCAGCTTTGATAGCATTCATCTAAACATAACCTCCTAAACCCAACACCGGCCTACTTCCAGCAAGAAACAGAGAAACAGTAATGGCATCAACCACTGCACAAGGCAGCCCATCCAGCGAAAAGGCGGCCTACCCTCCCTTAAGCTCGCCAGTCTTTTCGCGATACACAACACAGCAATCGGCAACCAAAACCTCTCGCACGAGCGTCAATGATTTTTTCGCAGAAGAGGACGTGGCACGCGTATCACGGAAGATCAGGTATATTATGTACAGAAAGCGCGAGCAGGAGGTTGCCAAGTGGCCATACTTGCGAAGAAACCTGCACATCATATTTTACGAACCATCGTCAAAAAGAGTAAGTCACCAGCCATCTGCAGATGCGCAACCAAAGATAGGCTCGGGATACCCCCACATGCACAAACCAGGTTCGCGTATCTCTGCTTCCATTTGAACTAACGAATGGCATGCTTACTGCATTTGCTGTATTATGCATCCAACGCTTAGGCACGCATTTACACTATCATCTCTTCGCTGGTTGTTCTGCTCTTCCTGATTGTCTTTATGCTGGACACCATGCCGCAATACAGAGTCAAGGATTACTGGCCCAGAGTAGCAGCAATAATAAACTTGGCAACGGCGATATTCTTTGGTGTTGAGTGGCTGCTCAGATTCTACTCGTTCCGCAACCCATACAAGTACCTGATCCAGCCGATGGCGCTGATCGACCTGCTTGGTATCATCCCTGCGTTCATATCTTATAAGGACAGCATCGAGAACCATTCCTTTGGCCACCTGAAATGGCTGCGAGCACTGCAGGTCTTGCGTGTTCTTAAAGTCTTGCGCTTGACACAGTACTCGGTCGAGCTTTACGTGACATTGCGCACCCTGCGCAGAAGCCTGTCCCAGATCCTTGTGGTTATGCTGGTGGTTGCCATTGTGCTGATTACCGCTTGCTTCTTTATGTTCTTTGCAGAGAACGATTCGCTCGATGTTCCAAATGTGCGGTGGCTACGCAAAAACCGCGGTGTTGTAGAGACCAGTCCGTTCCAAAATGTTTTCTACTGCCTGTATTGGGGCTTTGTTACAGTAACTACCGTTGGATACGGTGACCTGACGCCAGTTTCTCCCTGGGGCCAGGTCGTTGCTTGCATCACCATGATCATGGGTGTTTTTACGATCGTGTTTCCAACATCCATCATCTCGACAAACTTTGCAAACGAATGGGATGCGTTTAATAAGGCTCAGAAGCTGCACCAGAATAGGATTTTGCAGTACAACACGGATATCAGGAAGCAGGAACTGACAAAGATCTGGCGAGATGCTAATAGATCCTATCGTGATATTAACAGCGGGGACAATGGCAATGGTACGGATGGAAACGAGCCACAGCCAGACCATGATGCTGAAATCCCGGAAACCCCAATGATTCCAGATCACGGTAGACGCTTCCGTGGAGACTTTGACGATATTGAATCGCTGCATGAAAAGACGCCAGTATACATGCCTCGTGGCACGAAGATGGAGCCATTTGAATACGAGCGTATCATTGCCCTGACAAAGAAAGTCGAAAGTGACCTGGGAATCCCTGCAGTCAACATGACCGATGTAAATTACTCCAGCCAGATCAACCAGCACCTGGTGGTCAACTCTATGCACTCAAAGCTGTATAATGATGCTTACGGATACCTGTGCCAAAGAATGCTGATGCGCTTGATGACATACAAGGACTTTGAGTCAGTCGATGACGTTGCTTCCTTCTTGAAGTTGGAGCCCCATGAGCACCGAGGCCCAGGGCCAGCTGATATTGAAAAGAGGGAGCTATCCGTACTGGAGTATCGCCTATTGAGTTTTATCTACGAGAAGGTCGATCTGAAGATGAACCATACAAGCAGATCGCCAGGTGCTTTTTCGCACTCCCCTACAGCAGAACATAGCCACCTATTTCGCAGGCGGCACGGCGCTCGTCACCGGACTCAGCGAATGGAAAGCAGTCCCAATATTGGTGAGCCTAGTGAATCTAAAAGATGGCCAAGCAGAATGAGCCCAAAAGGTGTGAAGTCAAGCTTTGGCTCAGCATACAAACGCTTTGCGCTTCCGAGAACATCCACACAACAAACCGTGCACGACTTTATGACACTAAGTCTCGCGGACGACGAATTAGCTCCTCGTAGACCCTCGAAGCGTGGGCATGGCTCGAAATCCACCAGCCACATTAAACCCAGCGACATCAGCAGCCCTATTCCCCTTCTCAGCTCGCGCTCTTCGTCGGAGTTTATTGATACTCGGCCAACTTCGCCTGCTTCTCCAACTCAGCGCGTTGAAGTCGAACCCAGAGATGGCGGCAGTTTAACGACGGGTCGACCAGCACCGCCGTCTCCATCGGTAGCCATTTTCATCGAGCCTGAATCCGCTGACATGTCGACGGAATCAGATCCAATCTAGCAGCGCATGCTGTTCCTGCTAAGCTGTAATAAAAACCGTAGGCATTTAGAAAAGAAGAGCCACGCCCACTGCTACATCGCCTTGGGGCTGTTCAATTCCTTGAACTCAAGCGAATAAACCTTTAATTTTGGTCAGCAAGACCAACCAAATATCCACCACTATCGTTCGCAGAATCGCTCATTACCATCAAGACCTGTGTCTTGGCCATCCCCGTACCATGGAGCAGTAGAGGTGGTGTGCTGTAGGTGTTGTTGTTGTTACCAGTGTAGCAGGGACTGGTGTTTCTGTCGAATGCTGGCAGCCATGACACCGCGGTTCTACAAGGCAAAACCAAACCTGACCAGCAGGCATCTCTTGTTGTAGCAAGCAGAGGTGCCGAGATCTTGCCTGGCCCTGGTGTTGCCATGCTTGTCTGTCTTGGTCGCAGCCCAGCTTTTCAATCACATTTTTCTTGCTGGTGGATATGAGCAACTTTGAAAAGCGCAATCAGTGTGCAACATCACATGTTATGATAGAATCCAACTTTCGAAGCTCTTCATGGTTCAAAATCGTCTCAAAGAATCGAACAGGCCCGTTGTCTGAAAATGCGAGCAAAAAATAAAATTAAAAAAGGATGTTCGTAGCACCACCAAGTTTCGATCTTGGGACCTCGAGGTTATGAGCCTCGCGCTCTTCCTCTGAGCTATGGTGCTTCGTGGACAAACCAACGCGGATTGATTTTGAAAATTTTTGAAATCTAGTCGATCAATTGATCCGCCCTGAAATGTCGAATATTTTTGAATCAGTTTTTTTGGCGTGGCGAGCATCCTTGGGACACACAAGTCTCGCCAAACTACAGACAACATAAATCCACACCCTCTAGATGCTATGTAATATGCTGTAGCCCATGGATCGTCGCTATAGCCTGTCCAAGATGTCATTAGTCTGATTTTGTAGTTTGTTCTCCTGGTATGGCTTCGACTAACATCTTTGGAACCTAACTTGAGATACGCAATATCTTAAAAGCAATTCTATATTAATTACTAGCTGTGGAACTGCATAGGTGCTGAAACGCCCTCCGTTCTAGAGAAGGGCGGCAGCTACAGTGTTTGAACAGCACTAACAGCGGCGGCTTCATCTCCAAACATAGCCATAATTGTATCCTATTGGGTTTATATGGCCTTGTGCTAATCGGGAATGCCTCGAGAAAAAAAGAAAACTGTTTCACCACTTGCATCCTACCCTTCCATCTATTTCCAAACAGAAGCGTAGAACTATAAGCTACGCATGGACGACTACGTCAATAATGTCGTGAGCATGTTTGTGCAGTCAGCACAGGAGGGGTTTATGTTTGAGGATGGCGATTCGTTGTCGCAGCTATTTGTGTTTGCTGACGAAGTAACTGGCCACCTTTGCAGCCAGATATCAGACGTTGACGACTTCGAGCAGTACACAATCATCATGTCTGACGACTTGTTTGCGCGATTCACTGCCTCATACTTGACATATGTTCGATGCCTGCCATCAGCAGATACAGAAGACAGGTGCCGGCTAATCTACAAAGTGGCGGACTCATTCATTGCTGTGTTCTCTCGGCCTGGCGTGTACTGGCTGGTTCCAGTCATGCGCTCGCTCGCATTTGCGTTATTCAAAACTGCCCAAGAACAGGACCGTCTGTCAGAGGACACGGCTGCGCACGTGCAGGCAGCCTCTCGCTTACAGAGCCTGCTGAACAACGTGCTGTCTGATAGGGATCCACTGCCTGACTCCAAGCATCTTGGTGCGCTGTTCATTGCTGGATTGCTCATACGTGTCTCTCTCTTTATTGGAACAATGCCTCCAGCACATGCAGCCGTGAGCAATGTGAGCAAGGCAAAGCTCAAAATGTCCTTTTTCAGCAACAGAGACCAGATGACATACCGCTACTGGGTTGGCCGGTACTACCTGGTTTGTTATCGCTTTGAAGCTGCACGTGCAGACCTGGATTATGCATTCAACGCATGTCCTAGTTCTCATCACCACAACAAACGCGCCATCCTGCGCCATCTGGTTGTGGCTAGCATGGTTCGTGGGAGACTCCCTAGCGAGCGACTGTTGGAGAAATATGATATGGAGCCTGTATACTATGAAATCGTGCGCAATTTCCGTGCTGGAAATATCGCTGGGTTCCAGGCTGCACTAATCGAGAACATGGATTTCTTCAGATCGCAGGGGAATTTCTTGATACTGCTGGAGCGCACAGAGATCCTAATGTACAGAAACGCCTTGAAAAGATTGGCTAGAATACTGTCGGCCGACGGGAAGGTAAAGATCATGACGTACAGCCATATGCTGACCGCCTTTCAGGTTGCATCTCAAAACTTTGATATGGACGTCAGCGAGATGGAAAGCATACTTGCGTCGCTTATCGCACAAAAGTATGTGCATGGCTACTTGTTCCACCACCAGCAGGCTATCAACCTGTCGGTAAAGCTTCCGTTCCCTCGAATAGATACCGTGTCGTTGCCTGGAGGTGAAAAGGGATAGCAGCAGATAGGAAAATAGGCATATTTACTCGCAACTTCTTGCCGTAGAAAGCATAAGAATAAATATCAGGTAGCAAATTCGCTATTGACCGGAAACGGACCCGTCGCGTTCGCAAAGGAAGCGAGAGCGAATGTAAGGATCCAGGCTAGCTGAGGCAGCAGCAAAACCTGCTGCCGCCTTGGTACGCGACTGGGCAATATCGGGTGGCGAGCTATCAGCAGAGATCCACACCCTTGTTTGCTTTTCAAAGTCTTCAACAGCCTGGAGAAGGGATTTCTCAGCCTTGTGTCTTCCGTCAACATCAAACATCCTCTCGTTTTCGGTTTTGGTTGGGAGCATGTACTTGTGCTCGTACTCTTTGTTGCCGCCCAACTCCGAAACCATCTGGCTCTTGTCTATGAACTGCTCCAGCTGCTCGGTGTTCTTTGCAAAATAGATGCGTTTAGCGATGGCTGGATCGAACCAAGGGCTGATGAGCTTCCAAACGCTGGAGAACAGCCAGGAATTGACAAAGAGAACGATGGCCGAATAAGTCTGTGGATAGGATTCGTTGGTCATGGTGATCAGTGTCTTTACAAACTTTAGATCAATGTTCTCCATCTTAAAGCTTGACAGGTCATAGATCAGTATGCTGCGTTCGCCATATCTTCTAGAAACCAAAGATGCTCTTTCAAGTGTCCAGGCCGCGTACTTTTCAACGATGCCATCGCCTCTCTCGCGTGGGATGTTTAGCCTAACGCGCACAACTGCAACTGGATATCCCAGTTTATCAAAACCAGCGACATATGTCAGCCCATCGTTCATGATCTTGAAGTGCTGCGAGCTTTCGCCGTCCCAGACCAGCTTGTCGATTGCTTGCGTAGCACGCCACTGGATAGACTTCGAAAGCCTGTCAAAGGCGCCATCGACATCCCAGCTCTTCGATTCAAGGAACCCTAAGAGATACGAGTCGGGGTGCTGGTGTGCCAATGCTGCATGCCAGAAGGTGTTGCGCAGGTATCTGACGGCAGTATCATCGTGAAACAAGGGCTTGAATGCGCTGGGCACAACAGGCTCATGCTTTCCATCCAGATACAGCTTGTTGGCTACGGTCTGGTGCTTGACGTTACCGACGCTGCTTGCATTGTCAGCATACCATTTGGATAGCGATTCAGGGGTATCGCCCACAGCATCGCTAGCTGGTATTTGTTCGTTGGCAACCTTGACTGGCGCATTTGCGGTTGCATCAAAAAGCCCAAGTATCTTGGTCCACAGCTCCTTGAGCTTCTGCTCCTGCCCGCTAGATAGGTGACCAACTGTGCCAGCGGCAATCTTGGTGCCATTCTTGTAGCAGTCAATAATGCTTTCGGTGCTGTTGGTGGCTGTCATTCTCGGCTGAAGATATATATTGTCTTGTGAGGTATTTAAATATTACATGCAGCAGAAGAAAGCAGATAGCGAGGCAAGAGCCAGCATCTGCCGGCACTGTCTCCTTTTATACCAGGCGCTGCTGGTCTGAGACAGCTGGCAGTAGCACGATTTAGTAGCAGATGGGAAATAGGCTGTGTGTTGCTGATGCAGCAGCATTTGATGCGGACATGGTCTGCGCACCTGACACTGTCGATCAGCAGCAGCACTATCGTTGTCGATGGCCAGTGCTGGTGGATGTAGAATTGTCCGTTCGGCAGCATATCGAAAGCGCACACGTGCCGGGAGCCTCCAAACCATATCTCCGTTCGAGGCAGCACTGTGCAAAGTCGAAAATAGCACGAGCGGGTGCTCTTCTCCAGCTCCTACTGGCTTTCTGCTATCCCTTTCCGCTTTCGTATTCGCCTTAACCACCAAAGCATACACAAAGATACTGTAGAGGCTTTCCAGAATGTCGCACCAGCAGACTGCAAGACAGCGCCAGCAACGCCAGGGTCTGTCACGGGAGGAGCAAGAGGGCCTGAAAGCCCAGCTAAGCACCACTTATTCCGATGATATCCTCGTCATAGCGCGCCATTTCGGCAAGCAGCCTAGCGCAGATGCCGCTCGGGTCTTGGACATCGACTTCAATGGGTTTACAATTGAGTGGGACTGGAAGGAGTCTGACGATGCCAAGGTGCGGAAAGAGGAAATGCAGTTTGCCTTCCGCGAGGTGAGGGGTCCAGGATCTGCCCTCCAGGAAATCAGCGAGCTTGCGGCTGAGGCTCACCAGGCACTAGGCGTCAGGGGCAAGCCAAAGCTGGCAGAGGCCATAGAGGCAATGGAGGCCAGAAACATGGTGGATTTTACCTTCGCCATGCCTAACGTCCTTAGCATGGTCTTCTGCATCGTTGGCCTGGGGCTTCTTGGGTATCTGGCGTTAGCCGAGAACATCCACCCTTCACTTGTCTTCCTCACGCAGTACGTTTCCCAGACCGCATGCTACTATATCTTTGGCGTGGCTATAGGGCTCCATGTCCTGGAGGCCGCCATTGCATACATGCTATGCCATCTGATCAAGACCTTCCAGCCAAGGCAGATGAACACGGAGAACCAGGTCAAGTGGACGCTGGGCTGTGCACTGTTTGGGGTTTTCTGCCTGCACGGCTTTGTCACTAGATTGAGGCTCCAATTCGCAATGGCAGACGCTATCAGCGCGCACCAGCAGCAGCACCAGCAGCAGCAATCTTCAGGTGCCAGAGATAACAAGAAAAACCTTTAGAAATTCCAAGCTGTTGCTTTTCAAATGAAGATCCATACATGTTTGCTCTCCGACATTGCCCGTGCTTTCGCCGATCGCCTGAGAAAGCAGTCACTTTTGAAGCTCGAGGGCTGTTAATTTACAGATGCTGTTTATTCCTCAGCTGTGGCAGCTGCAAAGAGAGAACACAGTGGATGGATGGAAAAGCGAGAAGAGACGGTGGATCGATGGCCTTAGAAGGGGCTGCGGAAGTTCTTGCCGGCGTAGATGGCCTTGTCACCGAGCTCCTCCTCAATGCGGAGCAGCTGGTTGTACTTGGCGAGACGCTCGGAGCGGCAAGGAGCACCGGTCTTGATCTGGCCAGTGCCAAGGCCAACAACCAGATCAGCGATGGTCGAATCCTCGGTCTCACCAGAGCGGTGGGAGACCATGACGCCCCATCCAGCCTTGAACGAGAGGTTGGCAGCACGGATGGACTCGGTGACAGAGCCAATCTGGTTGACCTTGAGGAGAAGGGCATTGCAGGCCTTCTTCTCAACA